AATGGCAAATGATATTACAATTTCGCGGCTTCAGCCAATCGGTCATTAATGGGTCTTTATTATCCGGAATTCGAATTAAGCCCATAAATAAGTTGTCAGCTTTAATTAACAAACATAACGAACAGGGAGTCACCAGGGTCCGAGTAAAGACGACTTCTGAACGATGGTAGTTCACTCCGATTTGGATTCCAGGTGACAGAATAGGCTTTCCGTTTGGGATTTTCCCCATGTGTCTCTTAGATATGAGCAGTTTTGCGTCAGAAAACATTCAACGAATATTTTGAATAAAATTATCGATTTCAAAAGCTGCTCCTGAAGGAAATGGATCTATGTCAGTTACCCCCCTCATAATCTTAATATAAAACTGGCGGGGGTTGACATGTAACAAAGTAAATAGTACGAGTCAAAAACCTTCCATGCAAGCCGCTTAACTTTCCAATATAAATCGCTTAATTTTTCATATAAACAGCGTAAGTAAAGTCAAAAACATTAAATTTTGCAGCCCAACCGGTATAGCGGTTAGCGTCGCTGAAGGGCCCGAGTTCGAATTTTGGAGAAGGCATGGATGTTTGGTTTATTAGATTACGGCAAAGAACTCGAGAGCTATCTGCCCTTAAGGAAAGGATGCCTTCGTGGAGGACTTTTTGTTAAGGGTGGTGTGTGTGGTGTATTTAATTATGGCAAAGCACACTAGGGCTATCTGCCTAAGGAAAGGGATGCCTTCGTGGAGGACTTTCTAAGCGGAAACTGGTCGATACACGTACACATGGGGAAAACCACGAAAACACCCATGCAGCCAGCCCGTTTGCGGGATTCGAACCTCGGACCGAACTACCAGTGTTCAGCGACTTCACTGCTCGGTCGCTGGTGGGCGGACTTTTTAAGGGAAACTGGCTCGTATACACGTTACACATGGAGAAAACCACGAAAACGCCCATGCAGCCGGGATTCGAACCTCGCCTGGATGTTTGTAAATGTATAGTGTTAATGCGAGCATGGCTGCACTCTAAATAAGCGGCGAGCCGAAAGTCCTCTCTTGTGGTTTGGTGGAAGGGGAAAGGGGTGGAAGACCCTCCGCCCCGTCTCCCCCCCTGGGAGTGCTGTTCATCAAAACATGGAGGTAGGAAAGGATTTCCTACCTCCATGTTTACTCTCTCTTACTTCCTACCTCCATGCATCAAAATTGGGGGTAGAACTGAGCTAAATCGCACTGTCACCTGTATGGTACTCAATGCTGTAGCGAACGACAGGTGTAATCTTGCGCTCCTTGCCACGAGGAATTTCGTGGTCTTGAGCTAATGTTACTGTTAGACAAATGAGTAACAACAACATTAAGTAACAACAACATTAAATTTTTGATTTATTCGCCTTTATAATATGCAAAGTGAACTTTATTCTTTGCAGTCATTTCACAGATTTGTACAGATAGGGAAGAAAGTCTTTTCTTATAATACTGCATAGTTTACAATAAGGATAACGATGTACTTTACTAAAAAAGTGCCTACAATTACGTAGTTAGGTAAAAATTTGCTAGAAATGAACTGAAAATAAATAATGGTAAATAAAAAATCTCAGTTTTATGTGGGTACACCAATCTAGCCAGTGTACAAAATAATAATTCTCCAAATTAGCGAATAAAACGAGAGCAAACAATATTGAGAAGCAAGTTCTAAATTATATTTCGCCTCAAGAAAAATAGCATTGAGTACTTTTTTTAATTATGTGACCACAATTTCATATCCATATTATTATTTTCTTAATGCTGTGCAAGATGTTTCATTTCATTTTTCATTCCTTGAAATTTAAGTTGATAAAGCATGAATAAATGAAATGAAAAGATTATGATACATTTCAATAATACTGCTTATTTGTCTCCCACATTACGAACAATGATTCGTTTCGCATAATTTTTGGCGAAATCCTTAGTTTTCCTTCTATAAAAATTCTAAATTCACATTTAAATTTATGAAAAAGTATTTCCGCTCCCAAATTTCATAAACTCCGAAAAAGAGTTTTTCTCCTGGAATTTACAGATTAAGCTTCAGAGAATATGTTTTTTTTTATATATGTTTAGAGTTTTTATATATGTTAGAGAATATGTTTATGGGGGGGGAGTAATGATTTTGATGGAATTTGAAATGAAACACAAGCCTTTTAAGGTAATTAATATGCTTTGCCTTCTACAGCTACATATGACAAGATAACAATAACAGTAGTATGAATATAAATGCTTGTATATCATATTTATTTCCTCTGTGCATATTATATTGTATTCTCTTATATATAAAATCACTTTGTATTATTTTCATCATCGGATTCCCAGGATTATCATTGGATGATTTTTTGTTTTTTTAATTTTGTCAGAACCTAGTTTTTTTATAATGCCCGTACTGCCTTTTTACCTTTAAATAAATAAACTACTTAAAATTCATTCTTTAGGCTGCATTTTTTTTTTTTTTTTTAAACTTATTACCTGCTCCGCCCTTAGGCACTACGCGGAAAGGGAGGGATGCTCCGTGGGGTTTGCTTAAGGGAAACTGGCTCGTATCCACCTTACACATGGGGAAAACCAGGAAACCTTCTATGCAGCCAGCCCGTTCGCCGGGACTCCAACCCCCGGACCGAACTACTAGTGTTCAGCGGCTTTTACCGCTTGGCCGTTGGTGGGCTTAAGACTGCATTAAGACAATGCTTCTCAAAGTAAGCAATAGCGCCAGACTGGCATATTTGCATAGTCAAAGATGATGGTTGTAAGTATCGAAAAACGTCAGTACCTTACAGATAATTAAGATTCTTCGAGACGGTGTTGGTAATGTTCGTTCTCCTCTTCCGGAAGGGAGGGGGGGAAAAAGTACTTTTCGTAAAATATTGTTATTACTGTCGTAATATTCATAACTTTGCATTGCATTGTCATGATCGCTATTGTATGATAACGTAATTTTTATTGCAGAGAAATAAAAATATGTTAATTTATTACTTGCATTAATTATTGCTGCAATGAAACAATACAGGAAACAAATCGATCTTTTAACAACATAGAATTAATTAAATTATATTTCAATTGTTTATAGTTACATAATATTAATTATATACCTATACGTGTGCAGACATGTAGAAAAAGGGTGGAAAGTGCAGAATCACCCACTGTTTGGCGCATTTTTAAGAATTGTACATACTCGGTATCCATGTACACATTATCCTATTTTCACTTGAAAAAGCATTCCAGAATTGCACAAAATTGGCATTGCGCACTCCCTCGACTTTATCCATGTACACATCGACCTATTTTCACTTAAAAGTCAAAGAAAATTGACAAAAATCCAATTCTTCTTACTCTTGTAAAAAGCGCCAAATAAGTGGGCGATTCTGCACTTTACCCCAAAAAGGGTAGGAGCATTACAAAAACTAGTTCAAACAAGGGAACGGTGACCCTAAAAGTCTGAGAAACGCTGTATGACATAAAACTCTGCAAAACTTGCGTGACACTTGCACAGCAAAAAGCATATTTCGATATTTTGCTTTTAGTCTGATGCGTGCTTTTAAAAAGCTAATTCTACAGCAGTTTTGAAACTTTTAACCTGAGGAAACTTTACTTGTGCACTTTCTTAGCTTATGAATCACAAAAACAATTCCAGTTCAATACATTAAGTGAAAAAGGAAAATTATAGGTAAAATACAAAAGTTTATGTTTGCGTTTAGCTGTCTTTTCTGTTTTAATTCAATTCGCCAGCTTGGCGAGAAGTTATTCTGCGAGCAATGCACGATTCAATGTAAATATTTGCTTTGTACTCTCATCAAATTTTGAACTTGTTATGATTACCTCATTATTTTATTTTCGAATAATTGCTGTCAGATTTTTGATCCATATAAATCTGTCGCATATTTCCAACAAAGTAACTGCACGCTGAATTTTGATAACATACAAGTTGACAAATTATACCTTCATGTAAATAATTTTACCCCTTTCTGATAAGACTTCACGAACTAAACGAAATTTTTTACGACTTTAAGAAACAAAATATATTGAATTCCAAATTTCCCACTACACATTTTAAATACAATAGGAAATTTAACTACTTCTTGAATCTTACTGCTTACTCGGTTCTTAAGACACAAACAAATTGAGGTCAACTTATTTAAGAACTAACTCAGAGAGGATAAAAATGACCGATTGTTTAAAGGTAAATAATTTTACCTAGAAGGTACGGGAAACACGGAAGAACCTTCGTGTTTGCATAAGTCCGATAAGACGATATACTCTTTCAAACATCCTCAACATTAGTTTCATCTGCCGCTGTAATTCGTAGCCTATTAAATTTGAGTTGCTTTATGCGTATTACTTTCAGCAATCAAACATTCTAATTATATAACTGATGGTCAATGAAAATAAACAGACATAAACAACGCTCAGAAGCGTGAAAAATATAAGATTACAAAACTTTGGGAAACTTAGCAACAGTAACAAAACGTGAAAAATATAAGATTAACAAAACTTTGGGAAACTTAGCAACAGTAACAAAACAAGAGTTTCAACAAAAAAAACTTATAATACAGCTTTCATCAAGCACTCGATGAACTTCTTTAATGGAAATCTTTGATATTTATCTCATTTTTCGGCACACGTGCAGCCAATATTGTACAAAAATGCCAGTCAAGACGAACACAATCAGTTAGGTAAATCTTTACAGTTACAATATCATTTTCAGTAACGCACCACGAAAAAACAAAATCGCCGCAGACGCGGAAAATAAACTAAAAACAGAGGGGGGAAGTAAGTTTCTTTCTACGTTATGAGTGTTCGTGACAATTCTGGAACGAGAAACAGCTGGAACTGCCGGCGGGGATTTTAAAGTTTCACCGCAAGACGCTAGACGGAGCTGCGGACAGGAAAACCTGACACGCGATTCTTGTTGCATCCACTCGCAAAATATTAAAATTTCAAAACTCTGGCAAACCAGCGCCCCAAAGAGTAAGCAAAATCACGAAATATAAAAACTTACTTTCTTTTGTAATCTGTAAACCTCTTCGTGCCATGGTATTCCGAGAAATAAGCGGCTATCTGCTCTGTGCCACTATTCAGAATGAAGCAGTCACGCCACATGCACGTTACTACTAAACTGAAATGCTACGATTTTCGTCTGCTTGTCTACCCTTTCCTCTTTCTGCTGTGACGTCAATTCTGCCCGCCTTCCTCTCCCACCATTCATTGCAACCTTCTCTTATTTACTTGAGCGTTCATTTCCTCAAAGGAAAAGAATCTTGAAGAAACTACTGATTGACAGGAGCAGGGGAAACTACTCTTCGGGATTTTGTTTTGCCCAATTGTAATGAATGGACTATTGAGGGGTTTTTCTTCTCTCGCAAACCCTCGCATTCTCCCGTGCCTTTCACTTAGAATGCATTTGTTGTCATGCCACCTGTGGCGTGACAAAACTAAGTTAACAATATTAGAACGAAAAAGCAAGAATATCGAGGTCAGAGAAAAAGATACTTTTCTGTCACTTTTCTTCCTTAAAGACCTTAGAGCTTTCTTTTATTTATTATTATTATTATTATTATTATTATTTTTTTTTTGGTCGGATGCAATTGCCATCCTTACTGTCAGGTAAAAATGCAATTTTCGATTTATCAATGCATTTATGAAAATATTCACGGTATTTGTTAAAAAGTAAATAACTTTGAAAAAAATTCATGTAACAAAGAGTAATTTCTCTTCCCTTTAAACTAGTGAATAGCCAAAAGATATTTTAGAATAGTTAAGAGCCATAAGAAATAGTGCTTGTACAAGGTGTCCTAAAGGACTGAGTGCTTTCAAAACAGCATAGCAAAAACGCAGCTTTATCCAACAAAGACCTCAACAGGCCCGTATTTTAAGGGAGGCAGTGAAATCAAATTGCCACATTCAAATCTTGAATGAATATATGTCCATATTTAATGCCTAGGGCGATTCAACGGAAACAGCCTTGTTCATGCAAGATAAATACTGGTAGTTCGGTCCAGGGCTCGAATCCCGGGCTGGCTTGCATGGGCGTTTTCGTAATTTTCCTCACGTCTGACGTTTATACGAACCAGTTTCCCTTAAAATCCTCCATGAAGGCATCCCTGTCCTTATGCAGACAGTCTTCGAGCGCTTTGCCATAGTAAATAAATCAAACTCTCTTTTTGTTTCCCATTGTCCGTTAAATTCATGATTCTTTTTATAATTTTTTTAATAAATTTATCCTTGAAAATGCATACAGTGCAGCTGACTTCCCTTTTACAACATAATCACCGAAGTTTCTGAAATTATCTATAACAGACGAAACATTTATTTGCCAGTTCCTTAAACACTTTGTTAAAAAAGACTAAGTTATATGATCTTCAAAAACGCTGATTGACAGCGTTTTCTTAGATGCAGTTCTATGTGTTGATAAAATCCACTGTCCAAGCGGGAACATTTTGGTTACAGAATATTTAATAACTATATTTTAATTATGATTATGCATACCCATTTACAATTTAACCTAAAATCTATAGCAATAGGAAAAATAACAAACTTCTCTAGATTGTCTAACTCAGTGGTTTCAAACTGGTAAAAATTTGGTTTGGTTTCTTTAATCATGGCAAAGCAGTCAAAGGCTATCTGCCTAAGGGGAGGGATGCCTTCATGGAGGACATTCTAAGGGAAACTGGATCATATACAGGATACAGATGGGGAAAACAACGAAAGCGTCCATGCAGCCAGCCTGTTCGCTGGGATTCGAGCCCCGGACCGAACTACCACCGTTCAGCGACTTTACCGCACGCCAGTGATAATTCCGCAGCTGGTAATTCCACGAGCCGCCATTCTTGATTCAAAATGGTGTTATAAATGTGACACGTATTTCTTTAAACATTATTGAGGGAACGAGAAAATTGCTCCGAGGATTTCAAAATCAGCTATGTCAGAACTTTCATTTGAATATCTAGGGGTGTTGGTTGCTGTTCCCGGCCCAAACAAATTTTAAATATATACCGTTATTTATTATATTCACATTTATTACGAATAAGACGTCTCGGAAGCATAGAAGAGGTTTTCAGAATGATTTTAAATTTTGCAAAGGCCTTTTTACTCACAAAGGATTTATTTCAATATTTAAGAGTTTGTTTTAAACTTTGCTTAAGTGCCTTGAATAAATTTTCCCACCAATAGCCGAGCGGTAAAATCGCTGAACACTGGTAGTTCGGTCCAAGGTTCGAATTCCGCGAACGGGCTGGCTGTGTGGGCGTTTTTGGTGGTTTTCCTCATGTGTGACGTGTATACAAGCCAGTTTCTCTTAGAAAGTCCTCCACGAAGGCATCCCTCCCCTTAGGCAGATAGCCCTCGAGGCTTTGCCATAATCACACACACCTTAAATACATTTAACGTACGGTAAGGAGAAAAGAAACCATGCTTATTTCAATATCTATTATTAAGACTATCGTGTTATTTTCCTCCTAGATTCATTAATCTAATTAAGAACATAATTATATTATTAACACTGAAAAACAATAACTTACGCAATTAAAAATCCTCCACTTTATTTGAAATTGCTGTTATAAGTTTTCAAATAATTGTTAAACTGATAAAATATTAGAAATTGATAAAAGTAGCCGGTACACATTTTCAAATAAGATAATCTACAGCGCTCTCTTCATTTAGCTCTCCTATACTGTCGATAAGATATGATAGAGAGTATTTTTTATTATGTTTACGAACTGACATGAGGTCAGTAACATTCGTAGGTTTCTCGGAAAATTGTTAAGAAGGCGATGATGTACAAGAGTGATTTAACTCATTTTTCGTTTCCTTTTATACATTCGAAGAATAAATTTGAAAATGAAAAGCCACTTATGAATATTTCTGTCTGTCATATGAATAAACCGTCACTTATCATTAAATGAAAAACACTCAATTGCAAAAGTTAAAATATAAAGGTTTTTTGAAGTTGTCATTTTTATAGGGAAATGCGAAACTGAAAAGCCAAGGAGAAGGCTGATTTATATGATTATGGATAATCTGAAAGAACTCGAGAGCTATCTGCTTAAAGGGAGGGATGCCTTCGTGAAGGACTTTCTAAGGGAAACTGACTCGTATACACATGACGAAAACTACGAAAACACCCATACAGCAGGATCCGAACCTCGGAATGAACTACCGATGTTAAGCGACTTTACCGCTCGGCCGCTGGTGGGCCAGTCAAGAGGCATGCAGATGTATGAAAGAGAAAAAAGCATCTCATCCTTATTTCAGAACGTGGTTTAAAAGTTGGTCTTCTAGTGTTTTCCGGAAATAATGACACTGTCCCTTTCTCGTCTTGGGGGAAAAAAAAAAAAAAAAAAAAAAACTGTCAGTTAAAATAACTTTTGTTCGAAGGATTCGTTAAAGTTGTTATTTCGTGTTATTTCCATACATAGTTATTTTGGCCGATGGTTTTAACTACTGGATTGTTTCGTTAAAATATTCATATTTCTTTCAGTTGCTGTTATTTAGACTGGAATTTTTTCATGACAAGGGAGATGCCAAGTGATAATTAGCTTAAGTCACTGGCAGTGTTGAAAATAATAGGATTGTATGCAAAGCAATCGATAGTAGACGTACTGTTGCGTGCCGCCTACAGGCAAAATTGAGACTCCAGTTTAGACACCACTTAACACACTAAAAACGGAACAACTTGATATTCCAATTACAATTTTCTTTGCTAAGAGATTCTCAAACAAGGATCTGCATGAAGAAAAGGTAAAATGTGTTTCTGTCCCTTAAATATTAGGGAATCAGCATCACGAATTAAAATCATAATTGCTTGTGAGGCAGTTAGTATAGTGACGTTAGTTAGCTTTATGGCAATTCTCAGACTCGCTGGATGAATCCCGTGACTGGCTGGATGAATCTCTCACATCAGATAACTCGTCCCGGCTCTCCCGGTTTCTAAGAAGTGGGTTGGTTGTATAAATGTGCAATATTGGCTTAAATGGACTAATGTCTTTATTTGGATTGAGTATTAATTTTGGCTTATGGTTTGAATCTAGCAAATAATTTGATGCTTACTTGGAAGTAAGATGAAACACTCTCTTAATTTAGTTGTTGTTAATTGATGGTATTTTGATAAGTCGATTAATCTGCAATCAATGACAATAACTGCTTTTTTAATATTTAGAATTTACTTTTGGTTTTGGTATTTTTGCGATTTAAGATTTTTCTTAGCAGATTTTTAAACAAGAAGTTGAAATTACTATTTAAAATAAGCATTTAAATTCTGACTAATTTTTTTTTTTTTTTTCCATTCATGATTTTAAATTGAATTTGTGTTCCTTGGAGATGGTATATGGAAAGTTTTCTTATTATGAATTATTAGTTTATGTATATAATATATTTAAGAACCACATGATTATGCATAAGTATTTTTAGTTGTTGAATGGGAGGACAGCAAAAGATGCAAAATCACGGTAGTGAGTCCATACTTTTGTGGACGACTTATGAAAAGATTTCATTTTCTTCCCGTTATGCGTAAAGAAAATCTCAAGCCAAGCCCTTTCTGAGCCCACAAGCGGCCGAGCGGTAAAAGCCGCTGAACACTGGTAGTTGGGTTCGGGGTTCGAGTTCCGGCAAACAGGCTGGCTGCATGGGCGTTTTCGTGGTTTTTCCCATGTGTAACGTGGATACGAGCCAGTTTTCCTTAAAAACCTCCACGGGGTTTCCTCCCTTTCCGTGTAATGCCTAAGGGGGCAGAGCACGTAATAAGAAGAAGGAAAAAAAAAAAAAGCTCTTTTTGAATAGAAATACCACAGGGAGAGAAATAAGCAGTTCCTTTATCCGATCGTTATTACAGTTATTGGAACTTTTACGAAAAAATTCATTCTTAATAAGTCGCATTTATTTGATTTTAATTTGTATAGTAAGCTCTTGAAAATTATTTATTTTCATTATAATTTTAAATATGAATGGTGTCGCCCAAACGGTATAGTGGTTAGCGTCGTTGACTGCCCGGGTTCGAGTCCCGGAGAAGGCATGGATATTTTTAAATGTATAGTGTCCTTCCTTGCTCTGACTATAGGTCAGACAAGTGAGCATTAGTCAACAACAACAACAAATATGAATGGCGTGTCACACCTCTGATCTCTACTGCTAACGACAGGCGTAATTCTGGACTGTTCGCCATGATAAAATTCGTGGTTTT